AGGTGTGAGCAGGTTTGGGGCACCCCTACTCCCAGCAGAGGGTGCCTCCACCATGGGCTCAGGGAGCATCTGTCCCTGACCACCCAGCCGCTGGTCTCTGCGCCTCTGTGTCCATTGGCCCGAGGCAGAGGACTGAGGCCAGCGCTGGGGGACTGTCCCCTGCAGAAGCCACGGGCCTGTAGCTGCTCTGTTCCAAACAGGGGTCCGGGCCACGGCGGTGCCAGGCAGCAGGGCCCACGCATGTCCCTGGGGGGCTGATGGCTGTGCTCGCTCCTGGCTTCCCTCATGTGGCCACCTGTGCCCCCCCAGGCTCCTGCCTCTGCCCACCTAGCGGCTGGCGAGGTCAGAGATTTGGATGGAGGAGCATCCACCCCAGCTCTACGGGTGGGGAGAGCTGAGGGGCTGCAGGGAGGGTGCGCGGACACACACACACACACACACACACACACACACACACACACACACACACGGCAGGTGCCCCAGGCTGAGGGGTTGCACGCAGGGAAGCTCAGCTCCTGCCATACGGAGGTCAGTGTCCGGTCAGTGCCTGTCCAAGTTGGGGGACAACCTGGTCCCCAGGGGGAGTGTCTACCACGGTGGTCACAGAACTTCCTGCTATGGAAAGTGGCGGAGGTGGGGGCCTGAATCTGAACCAGGAGGGTCTCCAGGTCCCGACCTGTGTCCTGGGTTCCCTGGGGGCGCTGCCTGTCCGGCCCCCGCAGCCCCCTCTGCTCTCCCCTCAGCTCCCGTGGTATCTGCACCACAGGCATGTGCGGCTCTGTGTGGGCAGTCTTGGGTCCTTGCTCAGCGTCCCCTGGGTGTGTGGGGCCCAGGAGAGCCGTCCGTCCGGTCCTCAGGACTCCCGGGGGGTGTCCCCAGGGTGGGGGGCTGGGACTTTGAGCGGGGAAGGGAGGGAAAGGGAAAAGAGGTGCATTTCCCAGGCCTGACACAAGCAGTGCCGCCTTGGTAGATAAGGCTGGCCAGGGCTGGCCTGGTCCCAGGTCCTGGCCGGCAGCCCCCAGGCCCCGTGGCCTCACCGCCCGCCCGCTGGGCCCAGGCTCAGCCCTGTGCTCAGAGCAGGTCTTTGTGCCCCAATCTCGCAGGTGGGGGGGGGGTGGACGGGGTCCTTGGCACGGCCCACCCCGGAACCACATGTGACAGCGGCTACTCTGTGGGCCCCAAGGTCGCGGCCTCCCATAAATGGGGCGGACTGCCGGCAGCGGCAGAGGCAGAGGTCTGCCGGCAGCCTCCGGGCTCTCCTCCGGGCTCTCCTCCGCGCTCCCAGCGCCGCTGCCCGTGCCGCCGCCTCCCCGCTCCTCGCCAGACCGCGCGGCCCACCGCGCACAGGGACCGACCGCGCCCAGGGACCGTCACCCAGGACCAGGACTGCGGAAGCTGCTCGTTGTTCCTTTTTCCTATGCATATACTTCTTTGAGGGTCTGGCCTGAAGAGGTGTAAGGCATGGGAAAATGGGGCAACGAGGTCCTCCTCGCCCGCGGAGCCGCTCCGGCATTCCCGCCGGCCCCCACGCCCCTCCTTCGGCGGGGGTGGGCCGCGGACTGCGAGCACAGGCTTTTGTGTGTGCCCAGGGGCCTGCCCCCGCTGACCTCTGCCTCCCAGGGGCTGGGCGCCGGCGAGAGCCGCAGAAGCTGCTGGACCAGGACCTGGGGCGGCTGTCAGTAGGCAGGGGGGCAGGGCCCCGCGGCAGGACCCCACGAGGCTGGCTCCGGGCTCCAGGGGCAGGAGGGGCAGGCGAGGGTCTGTCATGGCGGCTGGGTCGTGGCGATTTCTGCTTTTTATACTTTCATTCTACTTTGGTAATGGTGAGTGTGAGTTGATTTTCTGATCAGAAATGTCAATAAAGCTAATTTGATGTGAACTTAAGTGTAATCATGTTTTGAGGATCAGTTTAAATCAAAGCTGCCCGGTCATGCGGGGCTTTCTCTCGCCGCTACCAGTGCGTGGGGGGTGGGGGGCAGTCCCATAAGAACCGTCTCGGAGGAACGTAGTAAGAAACGTGTGGACATGGACGTGAGGGGGTGACCTGGCTCCCGGGTGCGTGAGCGGACGGAGGGCGGCCAGGGCCTGCGCCACCTTGGGCGGGCGTCCCCAGGGTGCCTGGGAGCGGATGGTGGGGTGGGTGGGCCAGGAATCTGCCGCCACCAGCCCCGCGGGTCAGGGTGGGGGCCCCTCGTCCAGGAGCCTGTGGTCTTAACTTCCTGGTATAGAAAAATGGACAGAAGCCCTCAGGAACCGAGAGCTTAAACAATGATTGTTGGCCTTTGTCGGCTAATCGGCCCAGCAAATGGGGCAGTTACAGGGGCCCCTTTATCAGCAGCACTGGGCTGGCCTGTCCCCTAATCTCATTGGATCGTTCCTCCCTCCAAGGACCAGAGCCTCCGGGATGAGGGGAAGGGATGGGCTGGGTGGGCAGCAGGGTGGGGCAGCCCCCAGGAGACCCTCCCAGTACCTTGTCCTTGTGGGTTTGGGGGTAGGGCTCCCCGCAGGACCCTTGAGAATGTTGTAGGGAAGCAGGTATCCCACCACCACTCTGTGGATGCGCCAGGCAGGGCCTGGCTCCTGGGCACCGGGCCCTCGGCATGGCCGTGGCTTTCCCCCGGGGTTCTTGGCTGACTGTGGGTCACATGCCTCGTCCCAGCGCTGGGGGTGGGGTCCCTGTTGACTGTTTGGAGCTGGGTGGGCTGCTCCCTTGCCATTTGCAGATTTAACTGCCTGAGCTGGGAGTGAGGGTCCCGCGGGCCAGGGCCGCTGCTGGGGGGTCCTCATCCTACCGCTCACGACCATGGCTGCTGGACAGTGATGGGGTCCCGGGGGCAGCTGTCCCTCCCGCCCCGGGCGCCCACGGAGCGGACTGTGTGCAGAGCATCAGTGCCACGGCACAAAGAGCTGCGTATTTCCACCGTTGTGGGGTGCAGGGTCAGTCCGGATGCCCCGGAGCCGGGGCCAGCGGGGACAGCATTTGTTCTGCAAGCCCATGACTTCTGCTCTGCTAGCGGGTCGTGGGGGTGGCCCCACCCCCGGGGCCCACCGCGTCCAGCCTGGGCGTGCTTCCAGTCCAGCCAGAGCTATGGTTTCAGGCAGAGAAGTTCAACATCCACGGACCCACCACCTGACTCCGCAGCGAGTGCCGTAGGTGCTTTGTTGTCTTGCTTTTGAACCTTGTGTGTTTCAGACAGGAGGCCCTGTGGGGAATCCGGTGCCCGGTGTTGTCCCCGACCAAGGGAGGCGGGGGAGGCCTTGTCTCCAGCGGCTCTCACGTGGTTCCAGCCAGGGGTCACCACGGCCATTGGGGCGCCCTGCCCCTCTGACAAGTCACTTTTGCGGAGCCCCAGCTGGTGTCCACTGTAAAGTCCCTGTTTTCTATAAACTGGAATTTAGGTTTTTGGCAAGACTGTTTCACAGGTGCTTCTGTGTGCTGAGCTGCAGGGGGTGAGGCCCACAATCCTGTGCTGGTCACAGTTAAGGGTAACTCGGTGTCCAGCATGGGGAGGGGCTTAGGAAGCATGGTCCCACCAGTTAGTCCCACCACCGAGCCCGACGGCGACTGCTGGTCAGGAAGGCCACTCTGGTTAGAGAGAAGACCAGGTGAAGGGGTTTCCATGCCTGAAAGGGTGCTGATGTTTCAAGTGACTCCCCAGGCGGCGGGTGAGTAGGTCCTGGGAACAGATACCCCTGTTCACATAGGACATAGGACACAGGACATACACCGTGCTGTACTCAGCTTCCCCTGGAGACCAGGCAACTTGGAGTAAAAGGTAACTAGATGCTCGAGTTCTTAGGGGTGTAGAAAGAAAAAAATCCAGTTACATGTTCTTGAACCAAAGATTAAAACAAACGAAAACACAAAGCTGAGCAGTGTTTAAGCAAATCCTGACTGCACAAGAAATCTTGAGTAAATGGCCTGACAGAACGGCAAAATAACCACAAATGGATGGAGTAGCGGTCGTCCCTGCAAGAGGGCTGAGAGGCCTTGGCCTCTAACTGGCCTGTGGCTTTGCTGCCCCTGGACAGGTCTGTTCTGACACCCAGACTTCTGCTGCTGGAATCGGGAGCAGCTACTCTTCACAGCAAGCGGAGCCCCGCGGACCAGGAGCCCAGACGGCGGCCTCCCCCTGTGGCCAGGACGGCCTGGCCAGAGGGACTGGCGCAAGGCTGAGCCCTTGAGCCAGACCAGACACAGGTTTGGATGCTGGCTCCCCACAGTTTTCTGGCCAACGTGAAAAGCAGAAGGGCCATGAGAAGCACCCAGCCATGTGCCTGGCTTGCCTGGGCTCTGAAGACAAGGCCGCAGTGGAGGCTGCCAACCCCACTGGCTTCTAATGTTTCAGAGGGCAGGACTATCTGCGTTCCTTTCTGGTTCTTGCTCTGGGGTCATCGTGAACATGGGACTCAAACCCGGAGGTGATAAAAACACACTTCCCTTCCTTCGATCCCTTCATGGTTTCCACGTTCACACTCAAAGCTTCTAAGCACAGAGGACAAGGAAGTCTCCAACTTAATTTTTTTTTTTTTTTAAGATTTTATGTTAGGGTAAGCTCTACACCCAACGCAGGGCTTGAACTCACAACCCCGAGATCAAGAGTCGCATGCTCCACCCAGCCAGGCACCCCTGCATTTTTATTTTTTCCAACACTTTATACTGAATAAATTACCACTGAATCATGCTATAAGCCCAACACTCAGCAAGTCCACTTTTGGCTTTTGATTTTGTTCACTGACCCGTCATTTGGTTCTTAAACTAAGCCTGGAGTAGTTTTCAGTGAGGGAGTGGCTGTAAAATGTCTTCAACTGTAAAACCTGCAGAATCCTACGGTGGGTCAGGGTTCCAGGTCCTGCCTGTGGATGGGCACACGGCTCACACCTCGTGTGGCTGGCATGGAAATGAACGGTGAACAGCTCTGCGCGCACCTGCTCTGTGTGGAATGGCAGCGTCTAACATGCTCCTGCTCCAGCCCAGGCCTCCGGCTTATCACACCTCCTCAAAAGGCATCCCCGGTCTGGGGCAGAGCACACAGGTCCCAGGGTCCCCTGGACAAGGCCGGGCCCAGCGTGTGCGCCTGGCCCCCAGGGTCTCGGAGGCAGCACATCAGAGGCTGTTGGCTGCACGAGGCCCACACCAAGGCCAGGGAGGCTTGTTCCACGTGGCAGAGATCCCAAAAGGAGCCAGGGGCCTGTCCCAGTGCTGGAGGCCCAGGAGGGGATGCCCAAGGGCAAAGCAGCTGCAAGCCACTGCCCAGGGCAGAGGGGGGTGGGCAGAAAGCCACCGGTGGATAGAGCACTCCAGAGAAGGGGCTGCTCAGCTGGGAGTCCTGCAGTTGGCGTTTGTGTTTCATTCGGCGATTCTGAAACCAGGTTTTTATCTGCGGGAAAAACTCGATCAGAGCAGAGGCAAGAACAGCCGCATCTCCCGGCCCCCACCCCGGCCTGGCCCCTCACCTGCACCTCCGAGAGCCGCATCTCCCGGGCCAGCCTCCGGCGCTCCAGGGGGCCCAGGTAGCGGTGGTGCTGGAAGGCGCTCTCCAGGGTGCTGACCTGCTCCGCGGTGAAGGCCGTGCGCACGCGGGGAGCCCGCAGGGTGTCTGCCTCCTTGCTCCACCCTGAGGAAGGACAGAAGGGCACTGAGTTCCTCGGGATACAAGGCCACAAGTTCTGCAGCCTGCCGCAGACACGGGGACGAGAGGAACGGCCGGGGCCTCCGCATGAGCAGATTCCCCCCCCCCACCCCGCTGCCGGCTCCGGCTTCCCCTTTCTAGTGGCTCTCTGCTCTGCTGTCCCACCGGGTCTGGGCACAGTGTGGGTGGAGGCAGAGCCCCTCCTCCCCTGCCAGCTCAGGTGTGGGGTGGAGTCCGGGGCCGCGAATATTGGAGAAAGAGGGCTGCAGATGGAGTAGTTTTTTTTTTTTTTTAAACATTTTATGTATTTATTTGACAGAGAGAGACACAGCGAGAGAAGTAACACAAGCAGGGGGAGTGGGAGAGGGAGAGGCAGGCTTCCCGCAGATCAGGGAGCCCGACGTGGGGCTCGATCCCAGGACCCTGGGATCCTGACCTGAGCCGAAGGCAGACGCCTAACGACTGAGCCGCCCAGGCGCCCCAGATGGAATAGTTCTAACGCAGCCCCTCAGCTTCCGCCAGTGCATGTGGACCACCCCCCCATGCTTCCAGAGAGCAGTTTCTTTGGCCTGCACACAAGGAACCCGCTCACTGGGGTGGTCGGGAGGGCTCAGCGCCTTCATCACGACGCCCCCAGGCTCCCCTGCCACCAAGTGCAAATCTGTGGCAACTCTGTGTCTAATCTCTTTTTCTTTTTTAAAGATTTATTTTAGGGGTGGGGGCAGAGGCAGAGGGAGAATCTCAAGCAGACACCTCTCTGAGCACGGAGCCCCATGCAGGGCTCGATCTCACGACCTTGAGGTCACAACTTGAGCCGAACCATGAGTCAGACACTTAAGCAACTGTACCCTGGCGGAAGGCACTAAGTACCTTGTGGTGCGAGTGCTACCTGGTCTTTCTTCGACGCACATCTGACCAAAATGCCAACGAGCTCTTCGTGGGGGAAGCAGGTTGTACAAAATGAACTTTAACACTTACCTGGAAGTGTGTGGGGGACAAGAGGGGCTTTGCTTCAGACAGGGTTGGGGGTAGGGTGTAACTAGTCAGCATGAAGGGTTTGGATGCAGGGATGACTGGCTGGGGTTTCTGAGGAGGGAGGCACTGGTTGCAGAGAATAAATTTAAAATTTTACTTCATTGAAGTATAAGTTTTTTCCGTAAGATTAAACTTTTTCAAAAATGAAAACTTAACAGATAATATCAACCCCACTTTTGACTACGTAGGACTTTAAAGCTAAAAGTAATGATTACATCCCAAAGACGTAAAGACAGACCGAGAAAACTCTCGTCAGCAAACGACAAGGGTTAGACAGAGTTTAGGAAGCCACCAGTACCTCCCAGAGTCAAGGCACAGAAGGTATTGGGAATTCCTAACCACAGGAGAGCAGGGCTGCCCTTGAGCCAAACCCACAGGGCTCCAGGTCCACTGTGAACAGGCTGAAATCTGGATGCTGTGCCAAGGTGCCCAGCTTTGGGGGAAGAACCACACCGACTCCCCTGAACCAGGCAGGTTTCACAAGCTTTCAGACATGTGTCCAGAGCCCTGTGACCCCTGTGGAAATGGGCTCCAAGGACTTACTGCGGAACTGGAAAGCCAGTTGCACCAAGGGGCGAATGTCGGAGTTAGGGCTCACAGTGCGGAGCTGGGGCAAGCCTGCGGTGCTGACTCTTGGAATCCAGAGGTGGCCCGGCTAGGGCCAGGAGCCAGCCCTCCCAGGAGGTGGGTGGGGAAGAGGAGCCCCTTCTGAGAGGAAGCGTTTACTTGCTAGAGGGGTCAGGTGAAACCTCCAACCCCAGCCCTTGTAAGAATGTCCCCACCTCCAACCCCAGGTAAGACCTCCCCACTGAACCCTCCCCGGCTCCCATCCCAGTCTGGGAAGGAAGGGAGCATCCTCCCCACCCATCCGCAGACCTACCAGCCATGGGCGTCCCTGGCGAAGACACTTCTGAGGACTTCTCCCCCAGGCCCACGGTCTGAGGGAGCTCCCTGCTGCTGGACACCCTGGCCGGAGCAGAAAGACTCCTCCAAGAGACTTCAGTGGGCCTGGAGGTGTGTGACGGCCCCACACGGCTGCTCTGGGAAAGCCAGTCCACTGAGCCAAAGCTGGATGTCTGGCGGACACTGGGCAGGGTAGAGGAGGGAGACATGCCTGTGGGGCCAGCCTCAGGGCTCACAGGATAGATGATGGGAGTTAGGTACAGGGTCCTCCGCAGAACAGACTGTGGGAGTAAGGCACGAGGTCCTCCACAGGTTTAGCAGAGCTGGGCTGCGTTTATAAGCTCAGGAGGAGGGAGTGGGAGGCCGGTTTGCGTAGATGGCTTAAATCCTCCCCCCACCCCCAGATAAGTAGCACCTAATTGCTTCAATTCAGAGGCACAAAGGAGGCCATTCACACCTCCCCCGGCTCCAAGATGTCTGGAGAGGGGCGGGGCTGTGGCCACCGGTCAGGGAGATGTGCTGGTTGAGGACTCGTCACATCCGTTCATCTCCCCCCTCCCCCACCAGGGCTGGCCCCCTCCTAGTTTAGCACCCATGCTGGAGACTTGTCCTTTGGGGGTGCGGAGCCACCTCGTCTCCTGCCCCGTGGGGATCTGCAGTGCCAAAGGTGACAGGTGTGCACACCTGCTTCAAGTAGGGGGAGTCCGCATTATTGTTCCTAGGACGGGGGGCTCCCAGGGCAGGTGTCCACTACTGTCTGGCAGGGTAGGAACAGAGGGCAGGCATTCCTGGAAGGGGATTGCAACCAGGCAGACAGGGACGACCCACTGGCTCCAACTGGCCCCTCCCTCTCAGATTATACTCAGTGGTCCCCCCCACAACCCCATCCCCCTCCACTTCACTCTCGTGCCATAGAGCCGGATTCCAGTGACAGGAGGGAGGGGTGTCTGCCCGCTGGGAGTATGGACTTCTCCCTGCTGCTCCCAAGAGGACCCCAGCAGGAAGGACCGAGGAGCCGCTGTCCTCCCCCGCCCAAGGCTGCCCTCACTGTGGCCAGCAGGGGCCCAGAGCCACCAGGGGCGCTGGAGCCCCAGGTTCAAGGGGTGTAGGCCTCCGGACACCGCTGCTCCAGGGAAGGCTGCGGGCTCCCTTTGGGGTCATGCACCCCTCCCACGTCCTCAGGTGGCCACCACCTCTTTCTCCAGGACATGACCCCGAGGACCAGCGCGTGCTGGGTCCAGACGCCCCCCCCCCCCCCAGCGGGTGTGGTTGCCCCAGCCCACCGCCCCACTCCCGGGGGCGCCGGCGCCAGCCTGGGCGGGACCGCCAGCCTCTGTGCCCGCCCCGCGCAGCGGGATCAAAGGCCCCTCGGGCCTGGCCGGGATTAACATCCCCAACCCCGCCTTCCTAGCCTCTCGGGCCGGGCAGGGGGTGATGTGGGAGCCGACTCCGGCGGGCACAGCGGGAACCGGCAGGCACTGACCCCGGCCCGTGAAGGGTCAGAGGAGGGACCGCGACGCCTCTGCGCCACCCTAGTTGGTCCACCGGTCCCCGCGGGTCGCAGCAGCGTGTGCTGGTGTGGACAGTGAGGTCCTCGGGACTGCTCTAAGGACGCCTGTGGGGCAGGTTCCTAGCGCCGCGGCGACAGGGCCCAGGTGGTGGGGGCCTGCCCGACCCACGGAGGTGGGGTGGTGGGCGGCGCCACACCAGCCGGACTCCGGGGAGTGGCGTCCCACGACCGGTCCGGCCGCGCAGAGCCGGCCCCAGAAGCATCCTCGAGGGGAGCATTCGTCGGGAAAGAGCGCGTCGTGAGCTCAGCAGCACTCACCGATGAAGCGCAGAAATTAGTGCTGCCGCCGCGCACAGCGCCGCACCTTTGCAAACGCAGTTTTACCCTCTCTTCACTTCTTTCAGGGCCCCATCCCGCATCTTGCTGGGAGAGCCCTCCCTAAGGGGACCCTCCTGCCTACACCCTCCCCTACACGAACCGCCCCCCCACCCCGGCTGCCAAAAGTGCCTGGGGTGGACCCCGCCCTTCAGCACCGCCCTGGGCTCAGGGGGCCCCCTCCCCTCCCTGCTGCTGTCTGGGTCCCTCCCTCTCCCCCGCAGCTCGAGTCCGCGCTGGCCCTCAGCTTCCTCACTCGGGCTGCAGACCCTGACCCCGCCCTGGTTCTGGGACGTGCACTCCGGAGCTGCTGCCCCTCCGTCGCTCCCGCCGCCTTCCTCCGAGTGTGGCCTTGGCTCTGACTGTTGACCTCGCCCCTGAATCCCGCACCTGCTGGCCCCGGAGAGGGGGCTCCCCACGCGGAGTCCAGTCTGTCCCTCCGAGGCCCTGGCAGCCCCACCCCCGACTCATGTCTAAAGCCCCCATTCCCTCCACGGGACCTTCCCGGACCTAAGGCCTCCACCTGCGCTCCAGGTCCCGGGGGTCCCGCCGCCCAGGCGCCTCCGCTCCGCCCCGCCCCGCGCGCCTCCAGGGCCAACCCGGACGCTCCTCCGAGGGAGGCCCGCCCCGCCCAAGACGCCCGTCTCCACGCCCACCCCCATTAGGAAGGGCAGGCTGATCCAGTGCGGCCGCACCAATGACCTTCCGGCCCTGATTCACTCCAGCCCCGCGTGGCCGCCCCAGGCTCCCGGAGAAATTAAAGCCACGGCCGTGTGGCCAACCAGCCCCTCCCCCAGCGCGCTCCCCTACCCCTCCCCGCCCGCCACACCACGACCTTGGATCCCCAACCGGGCGGCTCCTCCCCTTCCTTCTTCCCCCGCCTTTGCCCCCTAGCCTTCGCTCCAGGGCCCCCTGCTCCTCACACTCCCCATCGGTCCTTCCACGCCCCTCCCCCGGACTCCCTCCCCCTCCTCCGTTAGAGCCCCCCAACTTCCTGTTTGTGCTCCTGGTGGAAAAAACCTAGGTATGAGTGTGGCACGAGGTGGACAGGACCCCACCCCAGCTGGGTGGCGTGCCAGCTTTCCAGGCTGCAGGTGTGATGAGGCAGAGCACCCTCTATCCCCTCCCACGCCCCCCTCCATGGAGAAGGGAGACCAGCCCCAGGGCCAAGGGACACAGGACCTTCCAGCTCTGTTTACAGAGGCAGGCCTGGGGAGAGAACCATAGCGTTGCTACAGGTAGCTATTTGGTAGAAGATGCAATCAGAAAACCAGGCGGGGTTAATCAGGTCCCGTTGGGACAGCAGGGAGTAAGACCTACTGCTGATCCTTCAGGGATCTGACATTTTTGGGGAGGCCAGAAGGGCCCTTGAAGGAATGTATCAGAACCAAGGGCTCCGAAAATAAGGAAAGGAATGGAGTGGTCACTGGCTGTCGTGGAGGTGAGAGTCAGACTCGCCCTATGGGCAGAACGGCTTGCCTGTGGGTCAACAGACAGACCCCAAACAGACTCCCCACCTGCTGGTGATGGAGAGGAGGGGCTGCATCCATGTATGAGGCCTGGGAAGCGCACCAGGACAGAGCCAAGGACTCAGCAAGGCTGGCATCTGGGCTAGGCCAGGAGGAGGTGAGCCTCACACCGACAGAACAAAGTGGAAGAACAAAAAATGTTAGGATTTCTCTAGAATTGTCGGAAATGACAATTCTGGGAGACAGCAGCACGTGAATGAGCCCTGGTGGGCACCACGGAAAACAAAGTGAGGGGCTGGCTGGGCAGACTTCTGGAACATTGGAGTGGAGTTCAGCATTGAATTCCAAACGCGCTCGCATGTTATTTGACAAGTGTCTGGACGCTTGGCGGCTCTAACAGAGCACCACAGACTGGGGACTTAACCAGATACTTCTTTCTCCCAAGTCTGGAGGCCGGAGGTCCAAGACCAGGGTACCGGTGTGCTGGGGTTCCACTGAGGGCCACCTCCTGGCCAGCAGCTGGTCACTTCTTTGCTGTCCTGTCTCTTCTTAGAAAACACTAATCCCAGTGATGAAGCTCCACCCTCAGAGCCTAAGCCTGTCCCAAGGCCCCACCTCCTAACACCATCACACAGGGGGTTAGGATTTCAATATATGAATTTGGAGGACACAAACATCCAGTCCATAATATAGAGCAATATGTTTTCCAACAGACAGGAAAATTTAGCTGCAGAACTGGTGTGGGAGATCAAGTAGGAACCAGTAATGTAGTCAGAGTGGTTGGCCTCCATGGTACAAAACAGAAGAAATCACAGACACCATGAAATTGGAAAGGAGGGGGTAACTAGGCAGACCACAGGCCTCTGGTAAAACTGAAGGAATATAGAGGAAGTCTGTCTTATCTCCTTACAAATCATATGAAAGATAAATTTACCAAAATCTTAGGGATGTGTTCTTTGCAAAAACAATAGGTCAAGAACACTAAGCTGTTTGCTTTGACTTGGAAAACTTCAGATTTCAGAGGCTGGTTGACTCAGAGCAGAGTCCAAAAGCAGCGGGGGTTTGAGAACATTGCAAACACCAAAATGTTTATCGGTAGAGCATTACATAGATGATGTAATTAGAGGAACAAACATGGAAGAGAAGATAATTTGGACAGATAAACAATGACAATTGAGAAGACAGCAATTTCAAACGAAGTCACAAAGGAAGTTTACTTCTGTTAAGTTTTAGGCTCAACTGGACATCAGAGAGATATCTATCGAGTGCAGACCTATTGAGGAGTATAGAAACAGCACCCAAACTGATAGGGTTCTTTGCCTATTTGGAGAAAATACACTTAACATTGAGGTGTTCTCTTAAAACCGACGTATTGATCACCAGAAAGTTACTTCACAAGGGCCTGGACAGCACCGGTCCTTGATGGATCGGCACAATGTGAAAACACACTCTTCACTCAGGAAAGGAAAGGTCCCGGGCTGGGTGGGCAGGCCCCACAGCAGGGAGGAGAGGACCCTTGGCCACAGAGCTTCCTAGGCTGAGCTGATGAGGGGCGCAGGTGATGTGGACACTTCCTGGCCCTCAGTGCAGCACCGAACAGAATGTGCACGAAGGTGAGCTTCATACTAGTTGGGCGGGTTGACCAGGCAATTCGACAATAGGGCATGACTCCCTGTGGCATTGCCATAGAGTGCGTGCTGTGAGAACAGTCATTAATGGGTGTGAGCTGCACACTGACATGGATGGCTACATTTTTTTTCAAAAAAAAAAAAAGCTAAGAAAATACATGTTGGTAAGGATGCAAACTGGAACCCTTGTGTACTGTTGGCGGGAATGTAAAATGGTGCGGCTACGC